GAGTTAATTTGTAGTGTTCGTGGGCTATATATGCCGAGTTGAGAGAGAAATGGTTAGTAGATAATCTTCATCTTTTTCATCAATTTCAAAGGGTTTTTTGAGGTTTTAATTTGACCAGAGAAAGAAGGAAGACAGTTTTTCTTTCTTTTCAGAAGTATAACATATTTTGAGAAAAAGAAGTAGTGGTCAATCATAAGTGTTCTGATGAGAGTAAAATTCTGAATTCAGAATGATAAACTTGTTAGATTGTTATGATATATGCTTGTCCATATTTGAATTTACAAGCATATTCTGATTGGCTGCTCACAAGCATTCGGCCCAAAAGAATAGCCCATTAAGAGTCGGAGTTGTTAGGCCAATTCTAATTATTAATTAAGTTGCTAATCTTCCCATGTTTTTCACTTTCTTTTGCTTTAATATGTTTTTGAGCAAGGACCTTATAGTTTAGGTGGTTGTGAGCACTCATACACCCGAGATTTTGTATTCGAATCCCTCCTACCCGATATCGCTCGTATTAAAACATAGAATGGTGAGTTGCTCCCTTGGACGTATCTTATGTTCAGCCATGTGCAACTGGAACCTCTTGTACGAGTCAAGATCAAATAATTGGGGTGGGCTTCAAAAGTTTTTGTTTGATATAGGGGTTACTGTGATACATATTAAGACCCCTTTAGTAATGTTCTTGTTTCTTTATATTTTTAAGTTAACAGAAGGAGGGAAGAAAAATAACAATTTTGGATAACTAAATGTAAAAATGCCACTAAATTGGGAGAAAAAAGGTTCGGCCATCTAGAGTTAACCGTTTTGATGAGAAAAGGGTGCCTTTACCTTAGTCGGTTTTACCTGGCGGCAACCAAGAATATGGTCCTGGAGCCGGCAACCCAACAATCAGATTTTTACTGTTTCCTAAACAATATTTACAGCGCACAACAGTGGTTAAAATACAGAACAAAATAGCTTTTAGGAAGCACAAGGACTTGCTGGCAGTATTAAACAAAAACATGGGGACTTGATAAATAGAATAAAATGGGGAGGCCAAGCAGACTTTAAATTTGTAGGGTACCCTAAAAGGCTCCACCTTTTTTCTTATAAGAAACAGAAAGCAAAGGTCCCAAACTCAAAGCAAACTAAAAAGAGTGAACCATAATATGATAATGATATGGATTCTATTCTACCACTCACTCAACTTCCTACCTAGTTCCTGCCAAGCAATACAGAATCTGGTTCCTCTCCACCCATGCTGCTAATAGTGCATTTACACTAAGATTAATTATTAATTAATTCACATCCAAACCATACAGCTACAGTATCCCAGTCTCTCTCTCTCTCTCTCTCTTCAATTACCTGTTATATTATTTCTTGGCCTCAAGTTTGGTAGGACAAGCTGGTGAGGTAGATGATGCAGACACTGTTGGCCAAAATTGAGCATTCTTCACCTTTGAGACACTGGCAAGGACACTCAATGGGGTTACATCTCCACTGACTGTCACCTTCTTTGCTGCAAAGTCTATGTTGAAAGATGTCACTCCTGCTCACATAAATTGACAACAATAATATTAAGTTCATATATTTATGAGAATGACCATTAATTGGATTTTAAATTTACTGAATGAGTTCTTGATTATGACTCTTAACATAGATAAAAAGGAGGCAATCTTGTTGAATTTCTTATCTTAATTTCAAGGAGCTAAACAATTACTGTATGGTAACAAAGCATAGGGGGTTACCTTCCATTCTAGATAGATGTTTTCTCAGTTTTCCTTCACAGCCTTTGCAGTGCAGGGACACCCTTAAGACTACAACCTGCAATCAAATCATACACTTTTTTTTTTAATTTTATTTTACTTCTATACATACAACTAGCTGCTTATATGACATAAGGTGGTTATGATTTTAGATTAATTTTGAGAAAGAAAAAAGAACAATTTGGACAAACCTGGTTGGAAGGAGGAGGGGGTGGTTGTGGTTTTAACAGAGATGAGGAAGAGCCTGTTGAAGAATTATTGGCAGATTGATTTTCTTGGTTCAGCACTGTAGCTGGGTTCTTTTTGTGCCCAACTGGAACCAATGCCAAAACTGGATCATAATCAGATAACCCATCAAAGTACACAGTGTCACTCAAAAGGTATCTGGAGGAGCCAGGAGGGGTGATGAGATCAATTGGGTTGGCAGAGCTCTTCGTAACACTCTCACTTGGAACAGAGGAGAATTTCTTAACATTATCAGCTGGCTTCGGATTAGAAGCACTGCTCTTCCTCTTCTGGTCATTTTCCTTTGTGGAGCTAAAAGCGGAGCTCTTCTTCTTGGTTTGGTGATGGTCAGTGCTTGGTCTTGATGATGAGGAGGAGGAGCTTTTCTTCTTGCTCTTTTGGAGTTGATGGTAAGCCTTGGGATTGATTGGTGACTGAGAAGAAGAGCATGGAGCAATGGGCAGAGTTCTGGTGCTTGTGCTTCTTCTTGCATCTTTGATAATGGGGTTGTGGCGGTCGATGGCTCTGCCACCAAGTTGAATGATTGATGAGGATGAGGAGGATGATGCTTGATCCATGCTCAAACATATGGCTGTTGAAGCTTGGGATGCACAGAAGATATCTATGCCCTTCATCTTCATTTTGATAATGATGACTCAGGGGAACTAGTGGTTTACAGAATCTGCATAAAAGAGGGGAGAGAGAGATAAAGACAGACAGACAGATAACACATACAGAGAGAGAGAGAGAGAGAGAGAGAGAGCTTTAGAGAGATGGTAGTTTAATTTCTGCTTTTAAGCTTGAAGCTTACTCTTGCAGATAAAGGGGGAGATTTTGAAGAATCATAATAATATGGTTGTAGATTCCAAGCAAATTATATAGTTAAAAAATAGTTTTACTATATAATATACCACAAAAAACAATATTGATGCAGATTATGGAGTTTTTCATCCGAGTGAAATTATCAGGCCTTTGATTCTTACTATGCCAATGACTATTTGCCAACAGTTTAACTATATAATATACCACAAAAAACAATATTGATGCAGATTATGGAGTTTTTCATCCGAGTGAAATTATCAGGCCTTTGATTCTTACTATGCCAATGACTATTTGCCAAATTGGACTTTTACAGTCAAACATTACTAGTTTGGCATTAACCAGCCATAGTTCATGGGGCAGAACAAGTACAGAGGACTTGATGTTACCAACCATAGTTCATGGGGCAGTACAAGTACAGAGGACTTGATGTTGAGATTGTGGTAAAAAAATATTTACTTTTGCACAATATTAGTATTCCTGGATTAGATTGTATAAGGGCAAAATGAAAGTGGGGTAAGCTTTTAGCTCAACAGCAGCCTACCCAGAAAGTAATCTTTATGATCTGCAGCTAACTTTTCTGTGGATTCAATGGGATGAAAATGATGTGTAGTAAGTGCCTTATTTCCTTTTCCAGTTATATTACAAGTCATAAATTTTCAGCATTCTCTCACCTATCATTTGCTTATGAAAACACATGCAATTTAGACCTAAAACTGAGTCATATATAGCCTCAAAACTCTCAAGAAAAAAGTATCTACTCAAATTTGCTCAAATCCACCTCAAACTCAAAATTGATATTTTTTTAGTACATGCACTATCACGGTGCCATCAGAGTTCGAATATGAGACCATTACTGCAAATTTAGGCCATTTTCCACAGAACTACCTCGTTGGCAACTCAAAGTCAGTATTAGGCCTATTAGATGAAGTAAATTATGAGTGTCGGTTATTAGCTAAATATATATATATATATATATATATATTATTTTTTTTTGGGTTTAGGTTTTAGGATACTGCAGATGGTGCACTAAGACCAATATAAATGGTTATTTAATTAGGGCATTTGATAATGTAAATATCATATGGGTGGTCAGGCTCAGGTGCATATTTTTGGCTTGGATAAGAGTGGAGCACGCACCCGTGACATTTCCTTAGGATGCGTTTGGCCTTAAAAACTATATAATATAAATATATTATATCTGTAGGAAATTTAATTTACTATAAAAACACATCCTGCGACTGCAAGTTCATTAAATCCTGCTGGGCATGCATGGCCTACAAATTTATATTCACTATTTATTCACGCCTAGCAGCAGCTTGTCCCCATGAGAGTTCAGTTTTTTGAAATTATATAAGCTCAGAAGAGACCCCCCAACGGCTTCCTCAGTTCCTCTGCTACTTCATATTGAAATTAAAATTACAGAAAAATAAAAATAAATACAACAAAAAGGTATGAATAATTAAAGGAAAAGGACCTACTACCAAAAATGTTACCAAAAAACCAATCATACCATACCAGCAAGAAATGGAACAAAGATCTTTCCAGATGATATTTATCATGCAATTATTTAGATTCCTATGGAATAAATGTTGCCAGCAGATTTTTTTATTAAAACAAAAGAAAATAAAAAAGAAGCCATTTGGAATTTTTCTTTCTTTTGTGAAGATGGGATGAGACACAAAACCATTTGCAATTGGTCATGGAATCGGATGCCTCAATAAAATGGCTTTCATCATTCATCTATTCCTTTCCTTTTCTTCCTTTATATCCCCTGCCTACCATGAACTTTCACCAATGCAGAGTCCCAATTCTAAACGTTTCCTTCTTTTTTTGCTTTTTTTTTTCACCGTGTGTTATTCCTTGACCTAGTGTCTCTCCCACACTCAAACCACTTTGTTTGTCACCATTTTCGAAAAGATGTGGGGTTTTATTTTTTTACAAAGCAATATATATTCTAAACTAGTCTAAAAGTATGGAAAGGAGATCGAACTTAAGTGCACTGCGAGCATGTCATCTTGATCAACTGACCTAATGCGAGCATGTCATCTTGATCAACTGACCTAATCCACATTTATGTGGAAGCATAAAAGGGTCTTTGGTGAAACTTGAGAGAATTTTAGCTCTGTTTTCTGCAGCTTCAAGGAGTTGAGATTATATTTAGATATCATTATCTTTAAACAAAGGGCCTCTAAATGGCACATTGTATTGTGTTGCACGGTGATGGAAATGGTGGGGATGTTAGAAGGTAGGCTTTCTTGCTTTTTAAGTTTGGTCAAAACTTTATTAGAAAATTATAGATGTCTGCTGTATGAAGAGAGCTTTCATTCACTCAAAAAGATGAGATGGGGTTTGCAACTTTTCCCCTCTAGCAGCCATATATGGCCCCGGGACTAAGTGTGGGCATGCATTGATCCCAACCTTACCCACCCGTGATAATAAAAGGCAACAAACAAAACTTTCTTGAATTTAGGTCTGGCAAAGCTGTTGGGGTTAAAGGGGTTTCATATTTAAGATTTTTTTCTTTCTTTAATATAAGCTATATTGGAAAAAGAGGATTCGAACACACGACAGTATAAGAGTATCTGCTCTTAATCCCTTGAGTTATAAGTCCTCTGTCGCATATAGGAAATTAAAATAAAAGAATTTGATGAAGTCAAAGGAGTATAGTCATTCTTGCTAAACAAGTCAACATCAAAAACAGTTGCCATCCTTTTCTTTCATACCAAATGTTATCAACTTTACCATACCCACCAAAAGCGAGAGGTGATTTTCCTTCCAAAATACCAAAAAGTTGTCAAAAAAA